TCGCAAATTCTAACAGTAGTTGTAGCTAGTGTACTTGTGAAAACAAAAAAACGTTTATGCATATTTGCTGGCAGATAAAATTGTAATAATTTGTATTTCTGTATTGTATAACAATTAAAATTAGAAACAAATGTCAAACTACTCCAGCGCGTATGCTAAACAGAGTGTCCTAAAAAGAACTGACGATAATGTTTTAGACGCTTCGTAGATGTTTCGGCTGCCTAGCTTATAAGCTGACGCACCGGACCGGATTTTTATTATCGATGTACAGTAGGCATATGACTTTTTTCTAAAATTAAATATACCTATGAACAGCGGATGGCGAATGATGAAAACAACGTTTTTGTCAAAATTTGGTAAAAAAAAGTTCCCATATACCGGAAAAAATGTTTACTAAAAAATTACGTACATAAGTACTACATTAGAGTGGTCCAACTTTTGTATGAGGAGAAAATAAGTCATCGTAGAAAACGGAGCACCCCTTTAGTTTGTTTTCCTTTTGGTATTTGTTATATCCAGAGTTAGGATTTTAAGGCATTTGCCTATTTTGTCGGCTTAGTCGAATCAGTAAACAAATTAAAGAATCACACGTTTCATGTCTTCCATGATTAAAAATTTAAATTTAAATTTTTGCCTTTTTCTGCCTTTTCTGCATGTTTTGTTTTTATAAGATTTACTTATGTATAACTACATTGTACTGAGGGTATGTATATAACAAAATTAAAAAATAAATGCCTTCTTTGAAAGCTCATTTTGCCTTTTTTTCAAGTTTTCAGTGCCTTAAAATTCTAACCCGGGTTATATCTATACCAACTTTCAACATTCTATTGTAACCAATCAAGGGCGCTTAATGCCTTTAAAATGCGCTACTGACTCCCTTTGAAACTGACAAAAATATTTATGACATGACAACTGAAGCCTGTAATATTTTTCCAGCTAATTTAAGCTTGAAATTATCTTTGGTTGCTTAAACAATTGTTTTGGTTATATATGTACATATGTACAATACATTTCTAGAGTAAAGTATAAACATTTCATCAGCATCCTTTAAATTTATACTTAGAAATGTAAAATTTGGTGTCAGCACCTCTTTCGGTATGAGGAAACATTTTGGAAGCTGCCCCGAAACCTATCTTGTAAATTTTTTTTTTTGACCACTCTAGTGTACTTAGTATGTATGTATGTATGTATGTATACATACATGGTTGCTAATTTTACATACATACATGAATATAAATAATTTTTGAGTTATTTTTTCAAAGTATTACCGCTTTTTTTGAAAAAATTGCCAAAAATCAACGGTAAGTCTTAGCTACATCAAACTTGCTGGGCTACAAAACTGCACCCTTAAAAAATTAAAAAATATCTGATCGAAATTTGAAAATTTGCAAGCAATTTCTTTTAATTTTCCTGAGTTTTGCAACAAGCTTTGAAATGGTATTTTTATGTTTTTTTATATTTTTATAAAAAAAAACTAGCGGAAAAAATAAAAATAAAAATTGTTGCATATATTGTGAAAAATTTTCTAGGCAAATACTTTTGGCCTTGATTGTATGTGTGTACATACATATACATATGTATATGTACACATTTTTTCCAGTACACATTTTTTTTCTCGGAGTTTAAGCCAAATTTTACCAAAAACGTTATTTCTGTTGGTTTTTTATCACTCCTCATTCTCTCCTCATAGTTATGTTTATTTTTTAAAAAAGTCCTATGCTTAATATACAGTCATGCAAACTGTAATGCTGATTTTTATTGCGATTTGATTTTTTTTATTTACTATTCTAATTAATTTCGTTCATTTCTCAGACAGCCTGTTTAGTAATTGCCTGCCTTATTGTTCTTTTTATCAGAATATTTAAATAATTCAACGGTTTTTCCATATCAGCTTTGTCTCGAAACCTGTAATGAAACCCGATCGTGGTCGCATATCACCAGCAGCAGATGCCGCCGCAATCACATTGAATACCGATTTAAACAACAGAGATGATCATGATGACGGGTAAGTAAAATTTTTAAGATTTTCGATAATTTGAAGGATTATTAAAAAGGCGGGAGTACCAGGTACTCATGAAATTTGATATGTAAACATCTGTATGGTTAGGTTAGGTTAGAATGGTGCCGGGAAAACTATTACGCCCAAGAAGCAGCTAAGTGCCCAAACTATATCTAAATCGCGTTGACTGATTACTGAATTTGAAAGCGTCCTACACTCCTTGATTAGTTTCGATTTTCTATCTGAGAAAATGACTACGCGCTCGCCGTGACGTAAACCACCAGGTTCTAAGAGCCGGCAGCCTTCGGCTATAGCGTCTACTTCTGGCTGGAAAACATTTGCAAATCGGGCAGATGAACTGATCTTTTTACTCCCTGGGACTCAGAGTAAATGCCTGACCCAACTCCGCGTTCCATTTTGGAGCCATCAGTGTACAGATGATGTATCCAGGTAGAGATATCAAGTGCCCCGTCTCAGTCGGCTCTCGACGGTAGAATGACCCCGAAAGGCCTGTGAAACTCTACTTTAGGTCGTATGTAATCGGTAGCCAGTCTCAACTTAGGTGTCAATCGAGAAATTATACTGATACGCCTGATCGTTCTTTCTTTTCATATACCCAGTTCTCTGAGTAGCCGATAAGGTTGCGGTAGGCCTTATGTGAAGATCTATAGGAAGTATGTTTGTAATAGCATTGAGGGCATCAGTAGTGCAAGTTCTCATCGCCCCTGTGGTTCCGATACATGCAGCCCTCTGAACTCCGTCCACCATACCAGATCGGAAGTATAACCACTGTGTACAGCCAGTAGTAGTAGTAGGCAATGCTCACTTTCTTTACTCTCTCTTCAATATTTATTTTTCCAACTTAGCTTAGGATTCAGTATGACTCCCAGATACTTCGCTTGTTTAGATAATCGTAGGCTTTGTCCATTCAGCTTTGATAATTCAAAGCTAGAGACCTTATTCCTGTCCGCAAAGATTTCATTAATTCTATTTTCTCTGGGTTCACTTTAAGGCCACATTGCCCGGCCCATCGGCATAGCTTTGCTAAAGTTCCATCCATGATGTTACTCACCACAGATGGGAATAATCCGGTTATTAAAATCACTACATCGTCAGCGTAGTCCGCTACTTTTACTCCCCCCCTGGTTGAGCTTGAGTAGTACTGGGTTGATGGTGTTAAGCCATAAACTAGAAGAGTTCACTCCACCTTGAGGAGTGCCTCTACTAACATTCCTTATTAATGCGTTGCTTTCAAGTTCAGCTGAAATCGTTCTGCTGCGAAGCATCGCGGACGCCGAGCTCGTCCAGGGATTTTTGGATAGCTTCTACCCGAATGTTGTTAAAGGCTCCTTCTATGTCCAGGAAAGCTGCCAGAATATATTGCTTAAAATCAAGTATCCTATCGACTGTTCTAACGACTTCATGAAACGCCGTCTCAGTGGATCGTCCCCGTAAATATGCATGATGTGCTACAGACATGCCATCGCCGTGGAATTAGCCCCGGACGTGCGCGTCTAGAACCTTCTCGAAAGTTTTGAGAACAAAGGAAGTTAAGCTAATTGGTCGAAAAGCTTTGGCGTAGACGTGCCCTCGCCTGCCAGGTTTTGGGATGAAAACCACTTTCACTCCACGACAAGGGGACGTAGTTAAGGGCTATACATCCTTTGAAAATTTACAAAAGCCATGGCATGATAGCATCCTCCACCGTTTAGAACATGATAGGGATGATACCATCTGGCTCCGGGCCCATGATATTTTAGGATTTGTGAAAATTGACTGCTATGTGCAGAGCTCCAGCATACCTTCTTGGAAGCGGATTGAACACTTCTTCCGAATTACTTGGAAAATTAGTGTTAACAAGCAACCTGAGTGTTTCTTCCACGGACACTGTGGGTACATCGTCTGTACTACGGAGAAGTGATAGACAGGAATAGTCCTTCGCCAATAGCCTACTCAGCCTGGCGTTTTCCTTTATACTCTTCAGCGACTCGCAGTGGCTCGCTTATGCTGCTTTTTTAGCGTCGAATCTCCCTTTTATACTTTCTCAGAATGTTTTGGTATGGCTTCCAAAATTTAGATTTGTAACAGGAGTTGAACACTCTCCTAGTTTCCTTTATTCGTCTAGATAAGTCACTATTCCACCAAGGTGGAAATGTCTTCTTTGAGTATCGTAGCGAGCAGGCCCTGTTCATTAAATTCTGAAGTGTTGTCTCGGCGATTCTCAAATTGGCCTCAATCTCGCTGATGGAGCTCACCAGTGGGCTGGGTACCAAACTAAGCTTCTCCCGAGCCAGACGATCGAATTCAATCCAGTTAGTTTTCGTATGGTGTCGATATGATTTGATAATTTTCGTATTAATATTGACACTGAAAGTAATGTACTTCAGCTCTACCCAGAATTACAGCGGACGACTGTAAAAGCTCAGTTATGCAAGACTAATAGCCCATTTCTACCAAAAGCTTAACTGCAGTTAGGAGCCCAAGCAAGTTCAAAGAACTTTAACATGGGGTGATCGGCAAGGTTTATTTCTTACTTTTTGCTCATTCACTTTCCTTTGCTTCCCCACCCTTCGAGGTGTAACAATCTTTTTCCAATAAGCACAAACTGCAGTTAAAGCTTGGTGGAAATGAACTATAAGACTTGACTTGACTTGAAAATTGTATATCTGGCAAATGAGCAGCGCGTGTATGTAGTTACCAAGGCGAGTTAATATAAGGGGGTAGCGGTAGTACAAAAACAAAAACAAGCTACAACAAAAACAAAAACAGAGCAACACCACCTTATTAGCCCAATTATGAATACTACAGGTGAGTTTGTTCTCCCGACAAAGAAATCTCCAATAATTAGCTCCCAGGGAGTAGCATTTTCCCCGAAAATTCGGGAGGAGAAAATTCGAACTTCGTCAGAGCTGTTTGACACTTTTTTGACAGCCCAACTCCGCCATTTAAAACAAAAAATCCTCATTGAATTTTTATTAATTTTGTCGGGTCCAGTACACGACTTCTTCTTAACCACTTCGGGAATAGTTTAGGCATATTTCAGGATCATTTCGTAACTAGTTTCGAACTTGTCTCAAAATTGACCTGAAGTGTTTTTGAAAAAGTCGTGAACTTGTCCCAAAATTATCCTTAACTAGTCCCGAAATATTCCTGAAATAGTCCTGGACTGGTGCCGAAATGGTCCTGAACCAGTGCCGATATGAAACCGAAATAGTCATCAAATCCCGAAATCGTTCGAAACAGGTCTTGAAATGGTCCTGAAAACAATTACAAATTTTCTGTGGGTTACACACGAAGTCGTTACAAATTGTATGCTGGGTAAACACAAGGTTAAGCATGGGCTCGACGTCCGAGGGATGAGTAGTGTTGCCTACTGGGCTCCTATTATGCTTGCCGCTGCTTAGGTTGCTGCCTGTTTGTCGTAGTCGGCGGCGTCACAGGTAACGAACATACCTTAAAGTGACACTAGTCAAGGCAAGAATTTTACATTACGTTAATTTTGGTCTTATGTTGCTCAGTTGAGCTCCATGGGGCGGTGGAGGCTCCTGGGTGTTTGGAGGCACCGGCGCATTGCGCAAATTGTGAGTCACTGTGAAGGCATTGGGTTGCCGTTGTGACTCAATCCGTTGTACATAGGTATTTCACCTAAGCAAAGTGCAATTCGGTTGGAGTCTTCTGTTCCGGTATTTGACTCGATGCCAGTTGAAAAAAGTGATGATGTTAATTGCCCTCAATTCAATTCATATTTTTTATTGTTTATCAATTTTAATTGTTTAATACAAATACGAAAGATTTGCGACGGAAATAAAATTACGACCAAATTCCAACTTAAATGAGATACTCGAGGCCATGAAGCATCCGATAACTGGTGTGGCCTGTTTCACTCAGACTCCCAGCCTGCCTTCCTACACATTTGTGTCATACGAAGCTTTACTTTGGCTTAAGTCACGTCTGGACAACAGCAGGCATCCATTGGACATATTGGAGGCCATGCGAAAGTAATAAATCCATAATTTGAGATCCTGTCATAAATAATAATGTGTAAAAAATTTTAGAGAGAAGATGATTTGCCATGCGTCCGGCGACTGGGATAAACAAGTCATACCCGGATTTTATCTCTACTATATAGCGCAGCAAGATAAAAATGCCAAGGGTATGTATAAGTGGTAGTAGTTGCAGTATTAGCTATGTATGAATGTATTTTTTTAGAATTTTAATTTACTTAATCTCACTATATGTATGTATGTAAGTATGTATAAAAGTTTCTTATCAGCAATAACGTTTTATCCTTGTAGAATATGTTAAACCTCTCTACGATCTAAGTGCTTTCGAGAATGAGTGGATGGAGATAGAATTACAAGGTTGTAATCATCTGTGGACTGATGAAGCGAGAGTCCCAAATATACCAACCTTCTTGCGGGATATACCATCGGCGCAATCTTGGGCGGACTATAGTCAAAATCGTAAGTGAAGAAAATAGGGAAAAAATAGTATAAAATTAGATAGAATTTAACAAAATGAAAGTGAGAAAAGTTAAGTAAAATACAATTAAACAAAATAGCATAAACATAAAATAGAATAAAACTAAATTGGCTTACCTACACACATAGTATATTAAATTGGAAATACTATATATTATACCAGTTGTATTTAGGGCCAGTTTTTCAGTGCACGGCCGCGGTTTAAACTAAGTTTAAACGCCCGATCTGGCTGGTTTAAACTAAGATCAGCCAGCTGTTCAATTTAAACTCAGTTTACTTAATCTAAGTTTAAACTGGCACTGAAAAACTGGCCCTTAGAGTAAAAAGTAGTTTCTTCATGATCCAATGATCGGAATTATACCAAATTAGTATGGAAGCACTCTTGAGATACTTTGGATAAATCGGAAAACAGTTTACGTGGTACAAAAACATTAAAATATTCCTACGGGTTGATAACTTCCACTGATACACTGATTTTTTTTATAACCGGCGTACGAATTTTTTTCGTGATTTACTAAACTTGAATCTGTTGGAACCAAAAGTCGTGTTCATATTCGTAAAAATTTGAAAGATCAAAGTGTTTAAAGTGTACATACATATATACATACACATACATATATCTCACATGAATTTGTATTCTTCCCATTATTCCAGGGAAAATTTACCGTCATTCACATTTGGAAATTAATGTCAATCAAAAGAGTGACCGAATGGAATGGGGTCACGTTAAGTATCATACTGTTATGCAACCCGGATACGCCTTTGAATTTGTTGTTGAGTGGGTTACAGCATCTGGGCCAATTGTGTGGGATTTGGTAAGCGTTATAGTTAAGCAATATACCGATTGTAGGAAGATTCCTAGCCCAAGCTGGTTTTTATTTACCTTATTTTATTGTCTTAGATATGGGGCTGGACACGTAAAGCGAATCATTGCAACTATGAATTGATATCTGTGCCCGCTGATCCGATGGCGGAACCATTTACTGAGAAGTCTGATCCATTGCGTGGTCCAATTTTTATACCATTGTCAGAAAAATTTTTAAGTGACAAGAGTGTTATGTTTGGTGGTAAGCTAGAAATTTATTGCCTCATTGACTATTATGCCAAATTAATATTCATATATACTTACACACATATTTACGTTTCAGAATTCGCTGAGGAGAGTAGAGCCGATCGTATGCTGCTCTTTCAAGAAGCCATACTTGCAAGGTTTGGATTTCTGCCGTGTGTGATAGAGAAAAAGTTTTCGTTTAATAAAGATGTAAGTGGTATGAATTAAAATTTTATGTTTTTTTTTTAAACTAATTTAATCGTTAAGTTATTTTGATCAAATATGGTATTGTTTTCATTCGCAGGTACCTAAGGAATATCAGTATGTGCATTGTTCTGGGCATATGTTTGTACTTATTCGGTAAATCTGCATTTTTGGTTAACATCTTTCTTTTTATAAGTAAAAATAAAATATGTATTCAAATGATTTCCAGTTGTTCGAAGAACAATTATCAAATGGACTCTCCAAGTCGGCAAGAAGCAAATGTGACTCGGTGTGTTTATGGACACACTAATAATACCAATGTTCCAAAAAAGGTATAGGCACATATTGATTTTGATTTATTTATTTATTTTTTTTTTTGATATGACCTCAAACTTTCTCATCTAGGTTGGATTTTTATGGGCCTGGAATCATATGATACCCAATAAGAAATGGAAATCGTTAGTTATTAAGAATTCACCAGATGGTGAAATTTTCCAATTGAAAATGTTAAAAGACTTTCGAGATTTTTGTTCCGACACTGATGAACGTCTGACGAAATTCTGGGAACATTGCCATGAGTTGAAACGAAAATCCTTAAAAATAGAAAACCCCAGCAATAATAACAATATTGAAATAAAAGTTAAATAAGCTAAGTCACAAGAGTAAGCTTTATATTTTCATACCCAGCGCGCTATTGTTGGTACGGACCGTTATAACCGTAAAAATAAATAAATTGATATGGAGAATAAATTTATCTTCATAACCCACTTAAAACTTACGCTACCAACTTTACTGAATTCGTAGTAAAAAGCATTTCTCTAATTTGGCTTAAGAAAATTTTGAAAGTGGATGTGACAATATTCATTCAAGCCATTTATCAGAATTTCAAGAGCTACTTGAACAAATTAAACTATGGCTGCGTTTCTTTATACATTCCGGATAATCCCATTTCACAGCAGGAATAAACAGAATACATTTGAAATATACGTTAACATATCATCAGGAACATTCTAAAGAATAAGTAAACAAAAAAGTTTATTCCGAACGTTCAGAATGAATAAAGAAATGCAGCCTATATCAATGCGACCAACTCCGCAGTTCTATGTAAAATATGTGATATTTATAAAGCGTGCGCTGGATATGAATATATAATGGTTTCAGGTAATTTAACTTAATTTTTTCAACTATTAAACGTTTTAAGTTATTTAGCAATTTTTAACTCAGTTTGGCGAAGAGTAAAGTTTGACTTTTATTATAATAATGCGGGCAATCTCTTATGAAGCTCCGTAAGCATTGAAATCAGTCTGATGATTTTTTTTTTTTATCAACTGTAAAAATACATTTGTCAAGCGAAGCTTTAAATTTTGACTTTACATAAAAATATTAATTTAAAAGCGTATACTTTTTAGACTTAATCGATTTATTGAATCTGTACATAGAATTAGGCACATGTTATGTGTTTGGCATAGACTTTTGTACTGTTGTAAAATCACTAAAACGAAAATAAAATGACAATATTTTGCTAAATATGTAGAACTTTTAAATATGAAATTCAATATATACCTATGTATTTTATTTTATTAATGCACTCATAATGACAAGTATATTTTTGCTGATTGACTCAAATTAAAAATATACTGATATTTTTACACGACTATTTCTCATCGTAAATAAGGTACTAACAAAGACCAATATTTTTAAAGCAAGCTTTATAAATACATATGTACGAAATCGGAACATAAATGCTGGTTTACCAAAAATATCGACTCGTGCGCCACCTATCATTCGGGCACGAAGAAGAAGACATTACGACCCAAAAGTTGAGGTATTCGCTGTTTATGGCTTCCGCTGAATGTTTTGACTGCAAAAATTTTTAGGTAATGCAATTTTCCGGATTCAAAATTATCGGTTTAGTTTATTCTGGCTAATTCGATGTGATGTCTTCGAAACAATTCGGGTATTCACAACCGTGTCGTAAGTGTGTAAAACATATATTAAGAGGGTTCGCAAAGTACCATCAAAGTCATATTAAGTATTTTCGCAGTGTTAAAAAAATAGTTGGTTGTGGTTTCAAATTCTCTAAACATTTATTTAAGCTTTTAAAGTTTACGACATATAACAATACGACACCGTTGTGAATCCCTCAAAAAATTTAAGCGGCATCCGAAATGAGTAATGAGGTGTGAACATGCCAATATTTTTTTTCATCCGAAAAAGGTCTGAAAAACGCAGAAAACAACTTTGAAACAGTTGGCATCACTGTAGCTAATTTCCCTGTTTGTTTTGATTACGCTTTCGTTTTTACTCTGAAAAAAAGAACGCTTAATTAAGCTGATCAAAGGAAAAAGTAATAAAATAAATTTCAATTAAGAAATACCAATTTAAATCAAAACATTTAGAATTCATTGCATGTGAATCCGGAGTGTATGTGTAGCTGACTGCTGATTTCGTGTAGGTAATTAACTTCNCCCTATTACCCATTTTTACAGCGTGAGGAACGCTTTCTGGGCTGTGTATGGCTTCCGCGGGCTCGTGTTAAACAAACTTATTTTTACGTAGGTGCAGGATACAAGCAACCACATTAACAGGTCTATTCTGCGCTGGTAACAAAAATTTTGTAACCGGAAATTGAAGTTGCTGTAAATTTGTAGACCCTTTTCGCATGCTGTGCACTCTTGTAACCGGTAAAATTTGTTGCCATCTCATAAGCTGGTAAGAAAATATTGCCCCGTGAAACATGCATCCCAGGATTTTCTCAAATGTTCATAGCTGAATTGCTGAATGTTTTGACTGCAAAAATTTTTAGGTAATGCAATTTTCCGGATTCAAAATTATCGGTTACGTGCAGAATAAACCTGTTAAAGGTCTTATACTATCTGTAAAGGTTGTGATGTAACAGCATAAAAGTTAAAAAAAATATTTGGGGGATGTCATGGGGGAATGCAACAGAATAGCCCGTCCTAGACCAGATACAAACGTAGCTTATTCTGGATAATTCGATGTGATGTCTTCGAAACAATTCGGGTATTCACAACGGTGTCGTAAGCGTCGTAATCTTTAAACGCCTAATAAATAAATTTAATTATTTTTCAAGCTGTCAAAGTTTACGACATACAACAATACGACACCGTTGTGAATCCCTCAAAGTGGCATCCGAAATGAGTAAGGAGGTGTGAACATGCCAATATTTTTTTTCATCCGAAAAAGGTCTGAAAATAGCTGAAAACAGCTTTGAAACAGTTGGCATCACTGTGGCTAATTTCCCTGTTTGTTTTGATTACGCTTTCGTTTTTACTCTGAAAAAAAGAACGCTTAATTAAGCTGATCATAGGAAAAAGTAATAAAATAAATTTCAATTAAGAAATACCAATTTAAATCAAAACATTTAGAATTCATTGCATGTGAAACCGGAGTGTATGTGTAGCTGACTGCTGATTTCGTGTAGGTAATTAACTTCCAGTATTTTGCACAAACTAGTGTCTTGCTCGTTTCGGAAAAACATTCCCATTTTAGTCAAGACTCCTCTCTACAAGATCTTGGTCAGTGTACAGATAAGTTCAATTAGTCTGCTACTGCATGAGCGAACGATACATATTTCGCTTATAACTTGCTTGCCTTCGATTTGCAAGCACGTCGGCTTAAATCCACCTTAATTCTTAACCCTATACATTTGCTTAATATTTGCATATAATTAAATTAATATATGTACCTGTACGCTCGAAATACTACTTACTTATGCATGCTTTTTTATTTTAGTTCAAACATGGAATCTCAAACCAGACAGCGCTTAAGAGCTCCAAATTTCACAAAATGTGAGAATTTACTTTTACGTGATTGCATACAAAAGCGAAAAAACGTAATTGAAAATAAAAAAACGGACCGAAATAGTCTTCAACAAAAGCAAGAAGCGTGGATGGAGGTGGCGAAGGAATTCAATGAAGCCAATACTGGCATCCAGCGTACTGTTGAGAGCCTGCAGCAAAATTATAAGAATTTGAAGAAGAAACTTCGTCAGTATAAGATTATATATATTTTTTTAATTTAATAATTTAGACACCTATATTTATTGATGGTACATAAATTTTAGGTAAAAGAAAACTCCTATCATCGAGGCAGGAAACAGTTGCAGAGACATTCAATACGTTGACTTCCGAAAAGAAGGAATTGGTATCGGCAAAAAGTGAATTGTTGCAAATTCAGTTGATAGATGAACAAGAAAGATTAGAACATAATCGTCTATTGAGGAAAATGGAATTTGAAGACGCCCAAAAGAGATATGAGCACAACGAAACAATTAGGATGTTGCAATTAGAGGAATACAGCTAAAATATTTCAAAGCATTTGCGCTAAAAACTGTATTATTTAAATTTTGAAATACTAAAAATATTTAATTTATTTCCCTTATTATTATGTTTAATTTATGTTTTGCATTTATTTAACTGTTACCAAAAACAAACCTAAATTTGTATGGGAAAAAAATGAATTGTTGCAAATTCAGTTGATAGATGTACAAGAAAGATTAGAACATAATCGCCTATTGAGGAAAGTGGAACTTGAAGACGCCTAAAAGAGATATGAGCACAACGAAACAATTAGAGGAATACATCTAAAATATTTCACGGCATTTGAGCTAGAAACTATATTACTTAAATTTTGCAATATTCAAATTATTTCATTTATTATTTTTAAGTTTTGCATTAATTTAACTGTTACCAAAAACAAACCTAAATACGGATAAGAATTTCTGATGGGACCATCTGAGCCTTATTTACATAAATCCTCTGAGGTGCCAAAAATAAATAAAATTTTCTAATAAAAATAGTGGTTACTGGTTAAACTGAACATTAATAATAAATAGGTATAATAGATTGGCGTAGCGGCCGCCACAAATGTCGGAAAATCAGGTGTGGAGATCTACTCTAATGGTAACGTAAATTCTGGGTTTTATAGAATGTTTTGTTTGTCGAAAGAAGTTCCAGAGTCAACGAAACTCTACCATTATAGTTAAGTGTCTAGCAGTACATAGGTATTGTGGTTGTTTACACTTGGCTGGTTATCAAGTTAGCTGGTTAAAAATTATTATTCTGCAGTGTACTTTATCGTAAATGAGCGCCGGTTGTAATCAATCAGCTGATTACAAATTGAGTGCTGCCATCCAAAGATTTTTGAATAAAACTGGACTGCTGCTTTGAAAACATCATTCAGACATATGATAAAAACAGATAAAAAAAATATAAATTTAAGTCTTAAATTGTTTCATATAGATATAAGTAAATATTCGCACAAGCTCCCTAAAAAAAAAAATATTTTACTTTTATTTATCAATAACGCGGCAACGCAGCCCATTTTGCAACTTTGACAGTTCGTGTTGTTTTTGTGCTTAGCTTTTTTTTTCTATTTAACAAAGTAATCAAAATACGCTAAAAAGATTCGTCTTTTGCCGTGATTTGGTGCTTCGAAGGGAGCAGAAAGTTTGGAAATTTTATTGGATTGAATATGTCGCCAAACGTTGTGCAGATATGTAAGTGATTGAATAATTGAGTTCAATTAAATGAGTTTCAGTCCACTGCTAAATGGTTGATGAAGAAGTGAAGTTTGTATGAAAGTGTGTAATGGAGTACGAATAAAAAAATGTTCAATTGGTAAGTTTAGTTTGGAGCATATAATTATATTTAATAAAATCGAATGGAACTGATAAAAGCAGATTTTCAGGCTAATTATTTACCTGAATGCTGATTGTAGGCAGAAGTCACTGTGAACGCATACGGCACCATACAATATAAGCAAGAGCACATACGAAATTTATAAAATATTGCCAACTCAGAAAGGTAGTCGGCGTTTGGACCATTCCAATAGCAAAGGACCTAATCGCGTTTCAAAATTTTGTTTGTAACGTTAATTGCAGTTGTAGTTGCAATTGTTGCCGCAGTCCTTTTGGAAATTCGCGAGTGGGCAACTGATGTAACTACATGTTACTCCATGGCACATTTCACTTGGTGAGTGCAGGAATCGATGCGTATACATTTCTAATTAATGATTAGGTATCGGCTTTCATATATGCATACTAATTGATTGATTAGCAATTTAATTTATTTCGCCTTTTAAAAGTTAATGGCAATTTATGCAAAGCAAACCAATTTAGTGATCACCACACAATGTGCCTATACATATGTATGATTGTGATTTATCGTAAGGGAAACGCGTTGAGACGGACAAATACTAAGTAAAAATGTACATACATACATATGTACATAAGAACATATTTTAAACTAACAGAATAAACCACAATTATTGTACCAACGCCTCGCAAATTGCCTTGCAGGTTTCGAAGATTTAACAGAATGATGAGCATACTGATACTTTATGGCTTGCTCAATTAGCCATACAATTGAAATTGTATAAAAATCAAAAGCTGAAATATGTCTTCATTCTTGCTTNTACATATTTTAAACTAACAGAATAAACCACAATTATTGTACCAACGCCTCGCGAATTGCTTTGCAGGTTTCGAAGATTTAACAGAATGATGAGCATACTGATACTTTATGGCTTGCTCAATTAGCCATACAATTGAAATTGTATAAAAATCAAAAGCTGAAATATGTCTTCATTCTTGCTTACATGTGAACATACATATGTACATATGTATATGCGCATATTTGTATACTATGTGATTGATAGTGTTAAAAGGGATTACTGGTTTTATTACATCGGTCATTGACATTAGTACTTGTGTGTAAATTACACAAATTTATTTTTAAGCTTATATGTATATCTTAACGTAGTAGTTATGCTTGTAAGCAATAAGCGGTTTCTATTTGAAAAGACTTTCTATCATTAAGCATTACTTTGAATTCACACCTATTAATTAATTTCGAAACTAGTTTTAATTCTTCATTATAGGTATGTGACTTTATTTAAATTTTTTTTTTTTTTGTTTAAAACATAAATTACAGGTATAACAAACACAACCTGCCTCAGTCAAGTGTCAGTCGAGCTGACACCGAACATCATGTACCGCTGTGTTCCATCACTGATGTGCAGCTGAGATTTCTAGTACCGGACGACTTAACCGAGGTTCCAATGAACAAATTCTTCATATGTACCCAAATATTTATTAACCATGTTTTATTTTCGTTTAAATTTAGGTACGAACATTGTGTCAAGATTGGTTTCCCATTGATTATCCGCTGTCATGGTACGAGGATATTACGTCGAGTTCGCGTTTCTTTGCGCTTGCTGCTGTCTACAATCTGGCCATAATCGGATTGATTGTAGCTGAAATTAAACCATATAGAAATCTAAACAAAGAGGTAAACTACATATTTCTTTGTTATGCAGATAATGAATATGTACCATATTATATTGTACATACTATGCATGTAATGGTCTAACATATGAACAAAGCACATGATATTTATGATTTTAATACTAGGATAAAGGGATTTTACCGGATTCGATGGGGCGTAATGCTGATATAGGGTATATACTATCTTTAGGAGTGCATCGGAAGCATCGGCGTAACGGGATTGGCTCACTGTTGTTGGACTCATTGTTGAATCACTTAACGACCGCTGAGCGGAATTCGGTCAAAGCAATTTTTCTACATGTGCTAACCACAAATCAACCTGCCATACTGTTTTATGAGAAACGGAGGTACCTACATCAACCTATAAATAAAAAAATTCTAAATATACACATAGTATAATGTTAAAAGATTTAATTGAAAAAATTTATGGATTGTCTACTTTAACGTAAATTCTGTATAACTTCCAGATTTCACTTGCATTCCTTCCTTCCATATTATTACAATATACGGGGAAAAGGGAAGGATGGTTTTACCTATGTCACTTACATCAATGGAGGACATCAACCATGGACAATATTATATCCTTTTCCAAAAAATTTGTCACAAAATTACGGTCGAAAAACGATAAATCGAAAGCTGACACCACACGAAATATATTAGTAGTTGTTTATGAATTTCTGCTGTTTATGCTTTGAATTATCGTTTTCAGACTTTACATATTTGTATTTAATCTTAAAACCCGTACGGTTTCCTTAACTACCTTACACAGATCACATCAAACATTATGCATCGAAGCTTAGACATGCAGGTGCAGTCTTCACATGGATTTCTACGCGACTGAGGCAAGTTGTGCGTTGGATTTGTCATAAAACCGTGTCACGTTTTAATTTTGCACATTAAGTACATCAACATTTTTCACCGTAAACCCACTGCTGCACCATGTGGTATACACGAAGAAAGGAAACAAATCCAAATCTGTAGATATATAAGTATTTATAGTACGGTGCTAGAGTAATAGCGAATAGGAACAGAGTATGTTTTTAGTTATTCAGTGTGAATGATAGGCGCAAGTTTTTTTTTTTTTTTTAAACAAATATGCAAATGTAATCATGGTACATTGTTGACTGCGTCCATACATACAACCACATACATACATGCATATACACATTGACATGCATTAAAACTTACTCTAAGTATATGCATACATATATAATTTGTAAGTAATTAAATTTTATAAGTAAGTTCTAACATACATAGGACAAGTTTGTATCACTCACCGAACATACATAACTGTAAGCACCACCTTGAAGTCATGTAAAGTCATATTTCACTTGTTATTTCGTCGATTTAAAATGTTTAAAAATATGTTTCTTTGAATAATCATTTTCGAAATATGCACAACACATTAACACAATATTTACACATGCGTCAATGCTAATAGGTTAATTTAAGAAAGGTTTTATTTATTATAACAAACAATTGTAGTCAGTTTAACACATTCATTTTTAATAATATTTTTAACTTCAGTTTTTTTTTTTTTTGTAATTTTTTATGCTTGTATTGTTTCATATAATTACCATAGTTTATTATTGTTAAATGATTCGTATATAAATCGATGGTCTCTCTGTTAAATAGTATAATTTTATTCAGTTTCAGGTCATAAAGTACAATAACCGAGCATCAATAAAGACAGTGTGTTAAAAATAAGATGTACATATATACTTCACATTACACATACACACACGGAAAAGTCGATAAACATACATACATATGTATATCCGTGAACCTATAGTTGGCTTAACTAACTAACATATTGATGTTTGGACACAAGAATTGTTTCAATTTAAACTTATTTCATACTCGGACAGCGCACACAGTCGTAGGTATAATTACAAAAGCCTGATGCAACCTTGAAACGATAACGATTTAGGAACGTATGTTATTGTTTCAAGTCTACTTGCTTTATTTGTATGTATAGTATTTTGTAAAGTATTTTAAAAATAATCTAATTAAATAACATTTTTAATTCAATGTTTATCTTTTTGTAGCGAATTTCAAAGTGAAATTAATGTATGCATAATAAAATATAGCGAGTATATGCCGGATTCGGTCGTTGTTATTGAAATACCCAGTATAAAGATGTACATATTGACATGTACATATGTCAACATACTTATCGTCGTTTAAAGTACAAAACCGCGTATCAAGATAACGCAAAACCGCGNTATATGTAAATATACATATCGTCGTTTAAAGTACAAAACCGCGTATCAAGATAACGCAAAACCGCGTATGTGAGGTTGCATAAATTATTTTCTAGAAAGTAAAAACACTCATATTTCAAAATGCGGGTTTTCAGAATGACGAAA